AGATCTTCATCGCAGAGGGACTTGTTTTTGACGGAATCGATGACCCAATCGGGTGTCACTATTTTGATCTTTTCGTTCGTCTCGACGGCCTTCTCGTACTTCAAGCCCTCGGGTTTGGTTGATATCAAGTGAGTCGTGTCGGACGACATCTGCAGCCGATACGACCCGCCATAATATGTAATCATTGCCCACAAGGACTGGCAGTCAGTTCCCGATATGTTGGACGGACAGGCGGTTATGTTGGAGAACAGTTGGGTCTTGAATGGCGAGAAGGCGGCCGTTCTGTCAGATAATACATCAGATGTTAAGACATTTGTTTGGACAAAGTTTGAAGCGATAGACACTTACGGCAAGAGTGCCAACGCCTTCGCCGACAACCAAACCCATCGACTCTTCAGATATGAAAACAAAGTGTCAGTAAATGTGATAATGAGATGAACCGATGGGATGGGGACTTACGGTGACAACAGTGGTCTCATAGATCTCGACGGCTTCGGAGACGGACGGGTGGTCGCAGTTGTCGCCAATCAGATGAGTGACATTGTCGGAGAGGTAGTTGAAGAACTTGGCGCCTCCTGACAGCAACAACTTCTTCACCTGTTGGCCACCGACACGAGTGATGACAACAATTGGATAAAAGGGTTAACAAGTGATTGAAAGAAGACAACAATGACTGAAATGGTAATACATTCTCGTATTGAGAGACGTCTTCACAGAGCGAGAACTGGACGTCTCTGAAGATCTGCTGTTTGGACACCTCGTCCTCCAAAGACACCATTGGGTGATGTCTCGCGGTGTCTGATCACAACATGAAGACCACGGGATGTGATGTCTGTGATGTGAACGCGATGTCAAGTGTTTGTCCGCAACAACACATCAATGGACATGAGATGTGATAATTGTATCACAAAATTGGATATAAAATACAAAACTTATTTTGAATGCAAATATAAATAGTATTAAAAAATGTGCGAAAAATGCATTGAATTTAAGGCAAACATTGTATGAATTGATTGATGAATCAAATGCTCTTTAAATGAGCGCTCGATAGGTCTGTCACTACTCTATGCATACATCCATACATTCAATGCATTTCTATGGGTTTTGTAGCCTTTTTTAGCCATTAGTGGCGCCAAACATGTTGTCCGCACATAAACATACAAAACAAGTGCTTTGAAACGGAGTAACATTTCAGGCGAACCGCTCCGATCCCAGTCTGATGCATACCTGTCCATCAGATGTCAGTCTATGGATGGCACGTATGAATACCCCATAAATCTAATGTTCAATGAGATGTGGTGTCAAGGGAAAGGTATCAGTTTTTCTCTCAAACTACATTTTATGCCAATTATCCGCTTTAATGTAGTGTTTGTAGTGTATTATGAATGTGGGATATAATGAACATAACTATGCAGTCATTTGTATGAGACGCTAGCAACAAAAGTCTCGATCAATGTGAGAGAAACTTATACCTGGATTCAAGTGTAGACTTGAATTAGTGGCATATTAACAGTAATTTGATGAAATGAAACATGAATTTATGCGATCATTACCACATATTTCGTGTTTTCTCTTCAATTAAATTACATCGAAAAAAGTGGGCAAAACTATTTAAACTCAATATTTGTATATATTATATGCGATACATTTGAGACACAATACTCAAGTGAGGGGTAATTGAATGTCTCATAAGAAGACACCCTTCCCTTACACAGCATTCCCCACATTCTTAAGGAAGTGCTATTG